GACTTACCCGACCCTAGAAGTGATGTAACATGACACGATGGATGAGACCAAACCCTAGAGGACTTAACCCTAGGTATATTTCTACCTAGCCGTGCTTAAACACGCTCTAACCCTAGTCTATCGGTTCTAAACCTAGGTACTTCTCTACCTAATGAGACCTATAAGACCTAGAGAACATGACCTGACCGGACTTAACCTAGACACTCAACCTAAACCCGATCTAACGGACTTTAAACCAAGTCTAACCAGATATCTCCCTAGGTACATCTTACCTACACGGATCTAACACACTCTAGACCAGACCTGATTGGACTTAACACAAGGTATATTTCTACCTAACCGACCTCTTAGACTCTCGCACAAACCTGATTGGACTTACCCTAGGCATAATTTTGCCTAACCGACCTATTAGATTCGAAACACAGCCTACTTTAAGACCTGATTACGTCTAACCAGACCTACAACACCGAGTCTACATGGCCCCCAACAAAGTCCTAACCAGTCCTACGATCTCGAGTCTACCCGACCCCTCACAAAGTCCTAATCAGACCTACCCAAGTGATATCTAGACCCTAACAGCCCTAGTTAGACAACCAAAAGGTCAAACTAGACCAGAAACCTAATCAGACCTAAGTCAATCCTAATTGACCTAACCAACCCCTGATTAGTTACCCTAAGTCCTAGTCAATCACCTAAAAGTCCTAATCATCAAACCTAAGCCAACCCTATTGACTTACCAACCCATGATTAGACTTTTAGCACCCTAATCAGACCTAAACTAAGCCTAAAGAGACTTAATTTTCCTCTGATCAGACCCTTTAAACGCCTAAAACCAACCCCTACAGACCTGCCCTGATCTAAACCGTCCTCTACAGACCTATACCTAGTGATTCTAGACTTGACCAACCCCTAAACCAACCAATTTTAGTCAAATATCAACTAATCAGATCTAACCGGTCAATGTACCGGACTCTATGACCCAAAAACAGGTACTTAAGAGTCCTATCTAGTCCTAAACTAGATAATACTTAAGTCTACAATCAGATACTAATCTGATCAGATCTAGACAATGTCTCTATAGACATTCTAAACCACTAATCAGACCTAACCAAGCCTATTTTGACCTAATTACCTGCTGATCAGATCTAAATTAAGCTAGACTAACCCAAATTTGGCTAAACCAGGCCTAACCAAGACCCAAAACAGCTCTTACATATCAATATCGACCTAAACTAGTCAATTTCAGACCTATACCAGCCTATTCAAGTCTAAGCCGACCTCTTGTCTAGCTAATCTTAGTCAAATCCACCTATTCAGACCTATACTGAACAGAAACTGGAATCTATGACCTACATTAGCTAAACCGAGATCTAAAACAGGTCTATTCCTAGTGTATTTTCACTAAACCAAGCCAAATTGAGTATTAATCCAACCTAACAGGGTAAACCGATCACTACAGATCCTAACATACCCTAAACCAGTCCATTATGCCGTAAACCAGACATCATCAGACCTCATTTTGGACTAACCTAACCCTAAACCAGTTAGTTCTTGTCCTAATTATACACTCCAGACCCTTAACCGATCTAATCTAGTCCTAAACCACGAATTCAGATCCTAACCCGACCAATACCAGCCCTAACAAGATAAATCAGATCCTAAACAGACCTCTATTAACCTAAAACCAATCTGATCTTACCTAATACCGGACTCAATTGACCTATACGGTCTAATTCTAGCCTAATTGGACGAACAGACCCTAACCTTAGACTTAAACCAGTCTAAACCGGCCTTAATTCCCCTCCAATCAGACCCTATTGGTTTGAACCGAACAATTCAGCCATTCCCAGACAAATCAGACCCTAAACAAGACTTAAACCAGCCTAAACTAGTCTGAATTACCCTAAACCATACTCAATTGACCTAAAGCGGACCTGAATTGACCTAAATCGAACTCAATTGTCCTAAACCGAACCTAGATTGACCTGAACCGGTCTAAACCGGTCCAATTGACCCCAAACCGGACCTAAACCGGTCCGATTTGACCTAGACCGGTCAACTGTTGACCAAATTGGTCAACGAATTGACCGAACCGGAGTGAACCGGTCTGAACCGGCCGGGACCGGGTCTGAGCCGGACTGAACCAGCCGGAATCCGGTCTGAACCGACAGAATCGGGTCAAACCCAATCTGACCGCCGATAACCGGACTTGGATCGAATCGAACCAGGTTCGATTGACCCAAACCGGGTTAAACCAAAATTGGATCGATTAAACCGGTCTAAACCGGTTGAACCCGAAACCCTAATTTCGGAAACCCTAAACCGCCGAGTCAACCGAGTTGACTCGATCGTTGACTCACCCGATTCCTCCACTCAAACCCTAACTCGGACGAGTCAGGGGCCGAGTTTCGCCGGAATCAGGTCTCCTCCACCGAGTTACACCGAGTATCATTTAAGACTCGGACTCAAATCGGAAGAAAAACGCGGAAATTAATGAACCGAGTCGAGAAACATACCTGACTCGCCTGGTCGAGAACCTGTCTTCACCGAATTTTGATCTCAGACGCTCCACCTCGACGGATCTTGCTACCGGCGACTCCGAGGCTTCAGATCTACCTCCCACCATCGCCGAACTAGCTCCGTCTTCGGCTGAAACACCTCAACAGAGCATCAAATCGCTCACACAGACAAATCCGAAACCACAGAACCGTAACTTACCTCACCTGACCGGCAATTCTCCCTGGATCGAAACCGGAACTCTGATACCACTTTGTGAAGTCGGTATCGGCCCTCACGGTTCTCTCCTCTCCTCGAGCCACACGCCCAAAATGTGTCGAAGACTAAAAAAGAAACATTAGGGTTCATTTAACCCTTTTTACCAAAACACACCGTTTTGGTTCGGGATTAAAATCCCGCTCGGTTCCGTGCGTAACCGAAGTCTCCGTTTGAAACGGAGTCTTCTCTTTTCTTCACCAAAGACATGGGCCAAGCCCAACAGTTATTTTAGGAATTGTCGAGATTTTTGGTCTGCGCTGTCATTCGAATTCCCAATTCCATCAGTTATCGGGCTGCCATAGAAACATTTCACCATTTGCTCTTTGATTCGCCAGTTCATTGTCTGGGTTTTAAGCATCGGCAGTTCATGGTAGCATCCTGTCTTGGCTGATTGCTTTTTGTTTTTGGAAAGGTATTTCCACTGTTATCTATATTGGTGGTTTTATCTGGGAAAAAATGTCCGAGATTATCGTTTTCACCTCCTCTTCATCAGTTCTAGATGTTTAGATGGTGAAATCCGTTCACAACAATCTTTCCGCCGTAGGTTGAGTGAATTCAACGTAGAAACACAAGTTAGCAATGGTGACTGATAGATGGAATTTTCTGGGATTGGGTTGCTTATCTTGTCTGTCAGATATATGCGGATGTTGTTGGTGTTCTCTTCCATGTATTTTCTCCCCATTTGTCAGAAAGCCATGTTCTCTGGTTTGGAAGACACTGATGCCACAGTTTCTTACTTTGAGCTTTTACTATAAGAGAGATATCATGGGGAGTATACTAGAGTTCCTTAGTATAAAGCTCTGATCTTTTATCTCTCTCTTCCGGGTGTTGAATGCGGGTGAAATATGCGATGCAGGTAGAGTTCACGGTCTTCATAAACAACGGAACTATTCCTCTTGAATCACAGAAATGCCCCGAGATGGTTATTTTCCGGGAAAATGAATGTGGTCATATGAACCTCTTTGCCAGAAGAAACACAGGAGAATATGATTTCTTGCCGAACTCGACCATACAAGAGATTGAAAGCTTTCTCTTGAACGCCATTAACATGAGTTTCTTGGACCGATTAAGTTTAGCATGGAAGATGATATTCCCGTCTCAAGCGACACGAAGAAGCTCCAATGCCAGAATCGCCAAGCAGCGTCTCAAGATGATCCTGTTCTCAGACCGATAGTGATGAAGCTTAAAGGGAAAATAGTCAACAACGTCATCCATGCACCGTCAGATTGTGTATATATTGTGTGTGTATATATATATATGGAACTTGTCTTCTAACTTGCGTCGCTTCTTCGCCTGTATCGTTCTTGGCATTTGACCCTCGAATCAGAGTTCCACCTTAGAACAACACTATCCGTTCTGAAATTGATGAAAGTTTGTAGCTTTTTGAACACAAGTTATCGGAGCCCGAAGGGTGTGATCGTTTGATGTTTCTCGGATGCAGATGATGATGATGATGATGAAGATATAATTTATCCAATGGGTGTGGGGACATACCCAAACGAATCATGACCGTTGAAAGATTCCGAAATCCAACGGCTGAGAGGAGTCGTCTTAGAGTCCGAGTGTGATGAGATGATAATTACGTTACAAAGTCTTCTCTTTCATCTGGCTGTGTCTTGCTATGAATAGAATTTAGGGCCGATTTTCTTTATCATTGTCTTCTCCATTATCGTAGCTTTCTGAAATCTGTCATAGCCATGTCGGACGAGGAGCATCACTTCGAGTCCAAAGCTGACGCCGGAGCTTCCAAGACCTATCCTCAGCAGGCTGGAACCATCCGCAAGAACGGCCATATCGTCATCAAGGGTCGTCCCTGCAAAGTCTGTTCCTTGTTCCTTTTGATCTTCTTTCCTGCTTCTCGATTTCTCCTCGGATCTGCTTGTTTTGTGTGTTTTTCTTCGTGCTGATTCGCGCTATGATCCCGATGTTTCCGGTTCCAGATCTTCGTTTTAGCTTTTGTCGATGAGATTTTGTGGGTTCTTCTCTGTATGTTCATCGATTCCGCTTTTCTGTTTCTGGGAACAATATCTGATGATTGGATTTTAGGTCTGAATGCGATAGTACGGTAGATTCGTTAGCTTTAGGGGTAACAAAATTTGCAGGGAAGAATTGATGACCATGTATGAGGGCCTGGTCACAGTATGTGTCTTGTGCTGATAAAGTTCTTGTCTCTGCCTGAATCTCTTGTGTGTCTTTTTTATCTTTTAGGTTGTGGAAGTTTCAACTTCCAAGACGGGGAAGCATGGCCATGCCAAATGCCACTTTGTCGCCATTGACATCTTCACTGCCAAGAAGCTCGAGGATATTGTCCCCTCTTCCCACAACTGTGATGTAAAATCCTTATATATCCCCCGATTTTTCTACTTTTAGGACAGAAGAAGTCTGTAATGGTTTTGTATTTTGATCATGATCTGACTTGTTCCCTGAATCAAATGGTGCAGGTTCCTCATGTCAACCGCACCGATTATCAGCTTATTGACATATCCGAGGATGGCTTTGTCTGTCCTTTCGTTCTCGTTACTCCTCCCGTCTTTGTATTAGTCCCCAAGTGGCAAAAGCTTAAGAATTTTGGGTGTGTAACGATTTCAGGTTAGTCTTCTGACTGACAGCGGAGACACTAAGGATGATCTCAGACTTCCAACTGATGAGAGTCTGCTCAAGCAGGTTCGTTCATGTTATTGCCTCGCCTCTTGAATCTGCTGGGTATCCAAAAGTATGAATCTTTTTGGATCAGAACAAGGGAAAGGGACAATGTGATAATGGCTGAATTCTAGTGTGGGACAATACTCTTAATTCTTTTGGATTTCTGACTGTAATGTAACTGAGTTGCCCATTTGGGGAAATGATGGATGCAGATAACAGATGGATTCAACGAGGGTAAGGATCTGATAGTGTCGGTTATGTCGGCAATGGGGGAGGAACAGATCTGCGGCCTCAAGGATATTGGTCCAAAGTCTTAGGAGCAGAAGATGCAGATGGAGATCATCCATAATCTTTATATAAGCAATAAATAAGTTTTTCAGACATCTTCGAGACCTGTGTTTTAATGTGGCTTATGATTCACTGACTTATTTTGATTGTGGATCGATATGCCAATCTCTTGCTATAATGTGCTTTGCTGTGCTTGGAGTTTGAATCTGTCTCGGGTTTGGGCCTGATTATGGGCCCATATGAGCCCGTTTGCTATATGGTCGTGGCCCATATACGTTGTATCCAATAAGTTTTCTTTTAAATTCTCTCACTGTCAATGCATTGCTCATTAAGCCATATTTTATCCCCTATTCTAAATCACTCATTGACCCACTTTGGTTCGAAGACTCACATTTAAGTAATAATATATATATATATATATCATAAAGGTCACGGGGCATGGGAAGAGGCACGTGCCTAAAAGAAACTCCAAGCAAAAGAGAACAAGTTCACTTCTGTTCTCTGTCCCATCTATCATTTTTTTTTATGTTATACTTATTCTCCACAATGTATGTAGAGATTATTATCATTTGATTATTCTACACAATGAAATTATCTTGAGCTACTAGTTTGGTTCTTTCTGTTTACTAGTTTCATATATATATATATATATATGAAACTAGCTATTTGATCAAATCATATTTCAAAATATATTCATTTTGAACAAAAATGCATCTGCTGCATGTGAATGTGTGTCCATGTATCATGTATGCACATGTGCACATATATACATGAGCATTGAGATATGTAAACATATGTACTAAAGGTCCAACTTCTGACAAGAAAAACGGCCGGAAGAAACATCACAGTAACCGAAGCTTTGAGGAACTTCAACCCAAAAACTGAAAATTTTAAAAAAAAAATCTAATACCAAAATTTATTCAAATAAATAAAATGCCTAATTTACAAACATTATAAAATAAAAAAGATAATTCTACACACACGCAAACACTCAACGAAGCAAGGGACATGAATGTTATCAGGACCTTTGACACTAACACAATATTTTTTTTTTGTTTTTTTTTTTGTTTTTGGTTAATCGGTAAATTCACCTGTACCTTCGATCCAACCTACATTATCTAGGCCCGGAAACAGCCTTAGAATGACCGCCGAGAGGAGCCCTACGAACCACATCCAGGGGGGACGATAAATACACACGTAACTCCCCATCACTAACACTAGCACAACATTTTGTTTTGGCAAAATCCCCTTTTACTCCTTTCTTGTGGGTTCTATATGTTTGTATATATATGTATGTGTATATATATATATATGTGTGTATGTGCATGTGAATGTATTTGTGGGCCGAGAAATGGAGCAGTAAGTCAGTGGTCCACTCTGTTTTTGCTACATTTAATCATACAAAAAGGGACACATTTAATCAAACGTTGACATGTCCCAAATCTGATACCGCCAAATTGCCACTCCATATTAGCTTCTAATGAGGTTTTTTTTGGTTAATACTGGGATTAACAATGTATCAAAAAATGTATTAAGATATCATGGTCGTATTGTTTTTCCAAAGGAGAACGAACATATTGGTATGAATTTGCCGGCAACTGGGCTGCGACACATTATTCTTCGGCCTCGGCCTAGAAAAAAGTTTACTACTTTGCCTCTCTCTCTCTCTCTCTCTCTCTCTCTCTCTCTCTCTCTCTCTCCGTGACATTATTTGGCCTCAGCCAAGAAAAAGTTTACTGCTTTGCCTCTCTCTGTCTCTCTCTCTGCCATGGAGGTTTCTTATCTTAGATCTGTGCACCGAAGCTAAAAGCTTTGCACAGAAGAAACATAGAGAGAACCCCACACCCAGACTTAGTTTTTCTTTTTGCTTTTCCTCTATTTTATTTTGCTTCTTCAAGTTTTTCTTTTATCGTTGGTTCCTCTCTTCCCCGAATGGTCAAACTCAAATGTATTTCTCTTCACTCTTT